TTTTGTTTCGTTTGGGTTTTGGTGTTTTTTGTTTGTTTGTTTGTAGTCCAGGCTAGCCTCAAACACTGTATCCCCCTGCTTCAGCCTCCTGGTTGCTGACACAGAAGTCATATACTCCTACACCTAGCTGACTGCTTGTCATTTCTGAAGCTTGTTTTCATTGTGTCTTCTTGCCTAGACCAAACCTGTTTTGTAAGTGAGCCAGTTAATTCTTGTCAACTTCACACAAACTTAGACTTATTTGAGAAGAAGGCTGCTTAATTGAGAAAGCCTCCGAAAGCCTGCCCTGTAGGCATCGCTGGTGGGTTTTATTTTTGGTTTTTGGTTAAGGATTGATGTAGGAGGGCCCAGACCACCGTGGGTGGTGCCACCCCCTGGGCAGGTGGTCCTGGTTTTGTAAGAGAGCAGGCTGAGTCAGAGAGCAATCCAATAAGCAGCTTTCTTCCTCTCAGAAGTTGTAAGATGAAATAAACCCTTTCCTCCCTAAGTCGCTTTTGGTTATGGTGTTTTAATCACAATAGTAGAAACTTTCAGACAGTAGAAAAACAAACACACCATCGTCCAAGTTTTGGATGCTGGTATAATTGTTTACTTTCAAGACAGTTATGCAAATGCTGCCTCTGTCTCTTTAAGAACCACTAAGGAGAACGCTGTAAAAGGGTGCTAGAGGATTTACAACACGAAATCAGCCAAAGCTCACGTGCCCTCACCCATGGCTGCTGGACAGGCACCTGCACACACACCACACACACTTCTGGGGACTTTCTGGAGCTTTCCTGGTACTGGGACCTGGGGCTGTTTGTTGTTTTTTAAGACAAGGTCTTACTATGAAGCTCTTGCTGGTCTGGCACTCAGTTTGTATCCTAGGCTCCCCCCACCTCATGGCAATCCTCCTGGCTTAGCTCCCTGAGTGGCTGGGATTTCGGCCATGTGCCAGGACGCCTAGCTGAAACCTGAGTCTTAAGTAAAATACCCAGAATCCCCTTGCTCTCGCTCTCCTTTTACAATGCAGTGCACAGGGACATCTGTCCTCAAATTCCAGGGCAAATGAGATGATCTGGAGCTGGGGAGCTCTGACTTGAGCTGGATAGAGCTGGTCCGGGGGTGGCCAGTACATTGCTGAGTGCTCAGGACTTAGCAGGCACCCACACCTCCATACCGACACTCTCGGTGGTGCTGGCTGGGCTCTTCTGCAGTTTCCCCCTCAACTGCAGGTGTCTTCTATTTAAGGCTTTAGAAAGCCTTGGTTGATAATGTGTTATATAAAAGTATTGGTCTATGGGTTAACCTGGCTGCACCTCAGTTTCCCTACCTGTAAAATGAACCTCAGGCTCACTTGCTATTCAGCCCAAGGTATCCGAGTGTCACTTCTGACAGAGCTTACACTGGGCAGTACTCCCCTGGGAGCCCTGGGCTACTCTCCCCACCCACTCTTTCTGACTGTTTGCCTGAGGATCTGCCTGGGCTGGAAGGGAGGGAAGAAGAAGCAGGAGCCTGGATCTCATTATAAACCATCTGGTTCCTAAGCAGGAGTCCCCAAGGACGGAAGGAGCCTCAGGCCTGGGGTGGTCATCTTCCCTGGCAGGAAACGAAGGTCACAGTCCTCCGACAGCTCCAGAGAGCCAGTAGGATGTGTGAGCTTGGGGCAGGTGTGGTGAGGAGGGAGAGCTGATATTGGGGTTCCCAGAACTGTCCTTAGAAAGCAGTTGCCTGAACCCCAAGACCCATTTAGCACCCAAGCATTGACAACCTAGTGTTTCCTGTGCTTTCTGGTGGTGGCCTACAGGGTGCCAGGCAGTGGCTGGAATGGCAGAGGCTAGGCAAGCAAAGGCAGAAAGGATGCTCAGGTTGCTAGCCAGGGGTCAGGGCCTCTGGGGGGGTAGGGGTGGGGAGGGACTCTTGTCACAGCAACTTCCAAAGCAGGAGGGGACTACAGAAACTGGTTGAGATTCTCCAACAGGAACGATGCCCTTGGGGGAACGGAGAGGGGAGGGCAGGAAGGAGGGAACAAGCGGGCATTCTTCCTCTCCGTATTTGAGTTTAGAAACATGAGGTGTTTAGAGATGCTGAAAGTGCCTGAGACTCTCACTCAAAACAAAACAAACGCAGAAATAAAGTAGTCAAGACCAAGAAGAAAGAGACAGGTTTGTCTCATTAAACCTCAAAACAAACTAGGGCATGGTGGTGACTGTCTTGGTTAGGGTTTTACTGCTATGAACAGACACCATGACCAAGGCAACTCTTAGACAACATTTAATTGGGGCTGGCTTACAGGTTCAGAGCTTCAGTCCATTGTCATCAAGGCAGGAACATGACAGCATCCAGGCAGGCATGGTGCAGGAGGAGCTGAGAGTTCTACACCTTCATCTGAAGGCTGCTAGGAGAAGAGTGACTTGCAGACAGCTAGGACAAGGGTATTAAAGCCCATGCCTACAGTGACACACCTACTCCAGCAAGGCCACACCTCCTAATAGTGCCACTCCCTGAGCTAAGCATATACAAACCATCACAATGATATTGCAGGGCTGATAGTTTCAGGCCACCAGCCAAGGCTACATATCGAGGAAAATACACAAAACCACAACCAAAACAAACAAAAACCCCAATACCTCAGAACATTGTCATCAGTGGATTTTAACTAGTCTCCTTTCTCAGTGTGGCTCACTGAACCTCAGTTCTTCATCCAAGGTCACCTGGGCAGGGTGGCAGCAGCTTTACTTCCTCTTCCTCCTGAAAAAAAGTCGTCTCTTCTCTCATGGTCTCCGTCAGTTTCCCAGATGTCATTGCAGGCCAGCGGCAGACCCTGGCTGACATGGGAGCAGTTGTTCAGCATCTCAAGCTCAGGCCCCGGGGCTTTATCTCTGTGGTCACTCGAGTTTGCCAAAGGCCTGCTGGGATGCTGCACGGACACTGAAGTAGTTTCCTCCTACTTGCGCGGACTGAGGTTCTGTAATTTCCAGTGTTTGGGGCTGTGATGGCTTCAGCCATAGGTTAAGTAAGTGGGAACGGTTCTGAGGTTTAAGATAAGCCACAATGGAACATAGGTGACATCAAGTGACATGTGGGTACCTCCTCACCCTCCTGGCATGGGCTCATTTCTGTGCTATGGACACCCCAGCTGAGCTCTTCTGTCATCTTCTCCAAACCTTTATTTTATTTATATAAGTACATTGTAGCCATCTTCAGACACACCAGAAGAAGGAATCAGACCCCATTACAGATGGTTGTAAGCCACTATGTGGTTGCTGGGAATTGAACCCAGGTCCTCTGGAAGAGTAGTCAGTGCTTTTAACTATCTCTCCAGCCCTCTCCAAAGCACCTTTAACTGAATGAAAACCTTGTGTTTCTGCCTGGTCTGGGTTCCTAACTGAAGCAGAGAGGGGCTTGTACTGGGGAAATACTGAGGTGGGCCAAAGATCTTCAGGCAGAGCTGAGGAACTGGAAGGACCAGGGCAGATCTGTGAACACCATCAATATTTCCTGTTTCTCTCTACAAAATGGCTTCATTCTCAGGCTGTCCCCACAGGACTGAAACTTCCCATTCACAGCCAAGCTTGCTCAAAGAGCAAAAGGGTTCTAGATCACAGGCAGAGAGGCTCAAGGAAGGTCTCTTATTGATCCAGCACTGAGCCAATTATTCCAAGGCTGGACCTTGGAAGGACAGGATCCCTCCAGGGCCACATACATGTAGAAATGGTTTGGACACAGCTGCTCCAAAGGAAAAGTTGTTTCCAGAGGAAGGAAGGAGAGTTGGGCAGACCAACATATACCTTGGCTCTTCACCATGTGGGGAAAGTCACTTCCTAAGATCAGCTACTGGCTGCTGGCCTTGAGTTGCAGTTCTTAGGTAGACCTGGTGACAGTAGGAATGTCAGAACTTTCCAGACTGCCAAGTTAACCTCAGTTCTTTACCTACAATTCTAGTTTTCCCTCTTAAAGGCATTGTGACGAGTGTCCAGTATATTAGCAAAACACAGAGATTCAAGTGACTTAGCCAAGGTCACCCAGGAAGTCAGGAGCAGGGCTTGACTTGGACTTCCATTCTCCTGGCTATGAAGGCAAGGGTGGGGGTGGGTGTCTTTACAGACAGGTGTAGGGTTTAGGCTTGGTTCTTGGCTCTGAACCCTACCTAAGCCTCTGCCAGGAGTGGTGAGGTGGGACATGGTAGGACAACGTGTCTGTGAACTCTTGCAGAGCATTTGCTGGGGTCAAGTTCACAGTTGGGTGCTCATCACCCATCCAATCAGAAGTTAGCAGACAGGGAAACGCAAGAAAACGTACAGAATTAACTAATTTAAGCCTATAGGGGCTTATTGAGACTGACCCGCCAACCAGGGAGCCTGCATGGGACAGACCCAGGTCCTCTGCACATAGGTAACAGTTGCGTAGCTGATCTTCATGTGGGACTCCTAACACTGGAAGCGGGGACTGTCTCAGACTCTGTTGTCTGCCTTTGGGACCCTTTCCCCTAACTGGGGTGCTTCATCTAGCCTTAACAGGAAAGGATGGGCCTAGACTTACTACAACTTGATATGTCAAGGGCTGTTTGATATCCATGGGAGGCTTCCCTCTCCCTTTCTGAAGAGAAAGGAAGGAGGAGTGGCTGGGGGGGGGGGGGGGGGGGGGGAAGGGCTAGGAGGAAAGGAGGGAGGGAAAACTGTAGTCGGATGTAAAGTTAGTTAATTAATTAATTAAAATTTAAGAATTTAAAAAAAAGAAGTTAGTAAGGCAATCTGGGGAAGGCTTTCCGCCTGAGTAGAACAGAGCAGGGAGTTGCCTAAGGGGGCTTCTCAGAGAAGCAGTCCTTCAGATGTATCTGCAGGAGCAAGCTAGACACACAGAGAGGGTGGACAGATGCTGTAGGCAAAGTCTCCCTGTAGCTTCGGCATCATTATCCCAGGCTTCCAGGCTCATTGCCCCCCTCAGTGGCTGCATGCTGACTTCTGCTGGGTCCTCCAACTGTGATGTGCTCCAGATACAACAGACTGCTTCTTTTTCAGAGTCTCGGAGACGGACCATTTTCGAATACCACCGTGTGGAACTAGACCCCAGCAAGATCACCACCGCCTCAGCCGTGGAGTTCACCCCATTGCCAAGTGAGCGGGGCAGTCTGCTATTCTAGAAAATGTTTTAGACTAACAATACTGGGTTCTGATCTCAGACCCAACCTCTGGTTCCCTGGGGTTACCCAGTCACCTAACTTCTCTGGGCCTAATGTCACCAACCTGCAAAGCTGTGTTCAGGGTTGGATATGCACAAGCCAAACTGAATACAGAAATGGCTGCCTTCACATGGAGTAGCTCACTCCAGGCCTGGGGTCTGGCTTGTGTATAATCAAGGCCCTCTAGGGACACATAGGTGAAACCCCAGAGACCTTAGCCTTGAGACTACTTGGACAGGGATCAGAAATATATCTGGTCTATAGTCACTCACCTTCTTCCTCTAGAGAGGTGTCCCTAAAGGCACCCTTACTGTGTGGTCATGGTTGCCATGGGGCACACTATGTAACCAAGGGTGGTTTCTCCTCTGCAGCAATCCTCCTGCCTCTGGCTCCCAAGAGCATGTGCTACTACTGCACCTGGTTCAGAATCCCATTTTTGCAGATGGTTTTGTTTCTTCTCTTGTCTCTTGATGTCTCCCTGCTGCCACCTGAAATTGTAGTCATCCATCTGTGACAGTTCTTGGCTCCCATACCACTCCCAAGCACACTTTTCTCTTCCCTGGATGTTCTGGAAATAGATAGCAGGGAAAGGAAAAGGTGACTCCTGGGCCTGAGCTCAGCCTGGGCTCAGGCAAGTATTTTCTCCTGGAATAGGGATCCCAGGGTGACCAGAAGATGAGGACGCAGTCCAGGTCATAGGCACACATAAACCTAGTCACTCTCCACTGAGACAAGAAGCCCACAAACCTGAGAAGTAGGGGGTTCCCTAAGACTGCTGTGAGCATATCTTGGGCTGGGCATGGTGACGTAGGTCTATAATACCCGTTGGTAAGTTAAAACAGGAGGACATTGAGTTCAAGGTTAGCTTGGGCTTCCTAGAGAGACGTTGGGAAGACTCAAACTGGAAGTCTTTGAGTATCATGGAACAAAAATATCCAAGGCCAGGGTCAACTGCCAGGACAGTAGTGAGCCATCCTGGGAATGCATGTCTAAGACTAAAGTCTGGAGCTGGAAAGATGGCTCAGAATTTAAGAGCACTGACTGCTCTTCCAGAGGTCCTGAGTTCAAGTCCCAGCAACCACATGGTGCCTCACTACCATCTGTAACAGGATCCGATGCCCTCTTCTGTTATGTCTGAAGAGAGTGGAAGGTGACAGTGTACTTATAAACATTACATAAATCTTAAAACAAAAACAAAACCCAAGACTAGAGTCTGGGAGCAGGGCTGCCAGGGCAGAAGTGGGCCATCCTAGGAGAGCATCTCTAAGTCTAGAGTCTGGGGGCAGGGGAAGGACGTCTGCGATGGAACTCCAAGGCTGAACATTCTGACTCCAGCTCAGTCCCTGATTCAAACCCAAACCTCCCACTCTCAGATGCACAATCTGCCCAGCCTCAATTCCCCCTCTGACATGGGGCAAGGAAAGCTCCCACCCATGCTTTCCATGTGTTCTAGACCCCCAGGGTGCATGGGCGGTCTGAAGTGGTTACTTTTCTTGCTGATGGGACAAAATACCTGTAAAGGCAACTTAAGATGGATGGGTGTACTTGGCTCCCAGTTTGAGGGTACAGTCCATCTTGGCTAAACTGGTGTGGCGAGAGCAACTCACATGGGGCCAGCAGTCCAGAAGCCTGGTTCTCAACGCCCTAGGCTTCCACTCAGCAATGGCCCCACCCACACTCAATCTGGGACTTCCATTCTTGGTTATGTCTCTCTGGGTGGGTTTTTACAGACACCCTTAGAGGTGTTTCTTGTAGGTTATTCAAAATTCACCCAAATAGATAATGAAGAGCCCATCATCCCAGGGACCACAGCCAGGAGGGCGGGAGATAAAGAAAGGGAAGGAGGAATTGCCTACAAAAATCCCAACTCTCAGGAGTCAGAGGCAGGGGGATCTCTGGGAGTTTGAGGTCAGGCTGGTCTGCATGGCAAGCTCCAGGACATACAGAGAACCTGCCTCAAGACATAACAACAGCAAAAGAGAGAAGAGAGGCAAGAATGACCTTTAGGGTCCCCAAAGTCAGAACTGCAGTTCAGGAAGGATCCTGAATTCAGAAGCTTTGCCCCAGGAAACAGTGATGAGATGCTGACAGCGGCCACCTCCTCTCTTGCAGTCTGCCTCCAGCATCTGAGTTGTGACACCTGCATGTCCTCGAACCTGACCTTCAGCTGCAGCTGGTGCCATGTCCTGCAGAGGTTTGTGACCAGGTTACACACCAAGCTCTGAGAATAGACCACAGGGGTGAGAGCGGAGACGGGCAGGGCGGTAGCCAGAGTCCACTGACAGCCTCAGGCCTCACTGCCCACTGTCTGCAAGCATTAGGAGCTCTCTGCCCAGTGTCAGAGTGGCTCTTAGGACAAGAATGTCACAAGTAAGTTTCACTCAAGGCTTGTACCTGATCAAGATGGGTGTTAGCAAAGGAAGACTGGAGGTGGCCAGGGCTCTGCATAGTCATCTGGAGTCCCCAGAGGCTATAGATCTTCCTTGCTCCCAGGAAAGCGGGCTCATTCTGAGCCAGGGCTTCAAGAAGAGTCAGTCATAGCTGTGATCACACCAGCATCACTGGCCTCTTCCATCAGGATTTCCAGAGAGATCCCAGGCCTGCTTCCTCACATGGCAACCTATTTATAAGCAACTGATGGGGCCATAACACAAAAGCTCACTCTTGCTGGGTGACCTGTGCCCCTCCCCCACCAAACTAGCCCAAGATCCCTCCTGGGTTGAAACGGGGCTTTCTGAAAACCAGGGGCATGGACACTACAGGTATCCATGGTTACCCAGGAAGCTACAAAACTCTGTTTGCTTGCTTTTGGAAGCTCAGGACATTCTGGATGAGATTCAGTTTCGTGGTTAAAGTTCTTAAACCCGACTTATCTTCCAGTCCTTGTTCTGGAATCATCTCCTTATAGATTAGACTCATAATTCAGCCTCTGTTCTTCTAGCCAAGATAAATAAATGAGGGGAAAAGACTCCTTTGAGGGTGATGACTCTCCTGAGAGTGTGAAGCCTGATGCATTCCAAGAACCTTTAAGGCCATCTTGAAAATGGCAGAATTGCAGGCTCCAAGTCTCTGTGCAGCTGTTGTACAGCTGTCAGCATTTCCTCTGCTTCCTTCCAATATCCCAGAGCAGAAATAGAAGCTCTTGATCCTACAGGCTGCTGGCCTGGCATACTAGACGACAAACCATCAGGGAGCACTGGGTACGGGATGCACAGGGGGCTTAGCCTCTCTGCTCTTCTTCCCTCCAGCTGTGCCCAGGATCTCTTTCTTGGGGCCTCAGTTCCTTTACCTTATGAAATGTCCTAGCGGGTTTGGCACACACTGTTACTGCAGCCCCTGAAGTGCTAGATAGATAGCATTTTATCAAACACACTCAGGACCCTCAGGAGGAGAGGCACAGAGTCCCAGAAGAAGTAACTGGCCCAGACTCCTAGCTGTCTTCCAGGACTGGGGCTGCCTGTGGACTGTGAGAACCACTGTGAGTTCTAGGACAGCCAAGGCTACATAGTGAAACCCTGTCTCAAAGAAACAAAACAAGCCAAGTCAGGGCTGGAGAGACGAGTCAGCTGTTAAGAACACTGGTTGTTCTTCCTGAGGGACACGGTTCGGTTCTATTGTCCTCTTCTGACCTCTGACCTCTGCAGGCATGGGGTTCGATTCTATCATCCTCTTCTGACCTCTGCAGGCATGGCATGCTCATGGTACATAAATAATACGAGCAGGCAAAACACCCATATATGTGAAATTTAAAAAGATAAATCTTTTAAAAGAAAAACCTAGTCATGATGGCAGATGCCTGTAATTCCAGCACTTGAGGGGGATCTGAGGGACCAAGATCCCAGGAGCATGATTTTGCAGTACTTCATCTTATACGTTTTTCTTTCTTTCTTCATTGCATATATTTTCCTTCCATCTGTCCTTCTTTCCTCCCTTCCTTCCTTTCTCTTTTTTAGATTTTATTTATTTTATGTATATGAGTACACTGTTGTTGTCTTCAGACACACCAGAAGAGGGCATCGGATCCCATTACAGATGGTTGTGAGCCACCATGTGGTTTCTGGGAATTGAACTCAGGACCTCTGGAAGAGCAGTCAGTGCTCTTAACCACTGAGCCATCTCTCCAGCCCCATTTTTAAAAAAAATATTTATTTCTATTTTATGTGTAGAGTTTGTGTACTTTCATGCAGTGCCCATGGAAGCCAAGAGGTGGCACTGGACCACTTGGAACTGGAATTACAGGTGATTGTGGGCTAACGTGTGGGTACTGGGAATTGAACCCATATCCTTTGCAAGATCAACCAGTATCCCATCTCATGCATTTTTAAAGCTGAAGTGTGTTTTCTGAGCCTTGGGGTAATGCCTGAGGTGACCTCACATGGTCCCTGGGATCCTGGGGCTGCTGCCAGACATGATTCAGCATCCAACCCCTGCTGAGCTGTAGGGAAAAAACTGTTGCTGTAGACAAAGCAATCCTTCCCTTCACCACCACCCCCCAGTTAGTGGCCACACCCAAATGTAGAGACAAGACAGTGTAGTGAGACCCAGAGTTCCTGGGTGTGAAGATGCTGGCCAGGTGGGGACATCTGGGGCTCTGCTGGTGGGTTGTACCTCTGATAAAACAGAGATGCTCTGTAAGAGGGTACAGGGGAGCAGAAGCCACTCATCTCAGGCAGACACCCACAGCACTGGGCTCATTCCAGCCCATGCTTCCCCCAGCCAGCTCTCTGGAGTCTCAGCTCCAAATGAAAGTTAATCCCAGGCCCCTGAAAAGCCAGGGGCATACCTGTGGGTCTCTTCTCCCTCTCTTCCACTCCCCATCTGTAGCCACTTAGGGCCTCCCCTCCCTGCTCTGAAAAGAACAATTTCACTGACCGTGCAGGTACCTAGTTTGTATTCTACACTGATTTACCCTTGTCCCGTCGAGGGTGGCTTTGGCCCTGCAGTTGCTCTGTATTTCTAACTTCACCATGACATTGTGAGGGTCCCTGGAGGTGAGTCTGGTGTAGTGGCTGATATTCAAGAGGTATTCAGTAAGGCCCGGTCTCATTTCCTTCTCTGAGACAGTGTTGGCTAGCTCGAGACTTAACATGTGGTGTGGTTAAACCCAAACTGAAGACTTGGGGTTGTGTGGTGGTTTTTTGTTTTTGTTTTTGATTTTGATTTGTTTATGTATATGTGTATTTTGCCTGAATGTAAGTCTGTGCGCCATGTACATGCCTGGAGCCCTTGGAGGCCAGAAGAGTGCATTGGATCTCAAGAACTGGAGTTACAGAAAGCTGTGAATTTCTATGTAGTTGCTGGGGACAGAACCTGGGTCAACTTGCTACGTACACCAGGCTGGCTTTGAACTGATTCGTGGGCCACCCACTGTGAAGACTCAGGCTATTCTGTTTGTTTGTTTTGGTTTTTTTGAGACAGGGTTTCGAAAACATACTGGCCATACTGAAACTCACTTTGTAGATCAGGCTGACTTCTGCCTCCCAAGTGCTAGGATTAAAGGCATGCACCACCACTGCCTGGCTGTTTGTTCATTTTTTTATGACAGAGTTTCTCTGTGAAGTCCTAGCTGTCCTGGAATTCACTCTGTAGACCAGGCTGGCCTCGAACTCAGAAATCCACTTACCTCTCTCTCCCAAGTGCTGGGATTAAAGGCTACCACTGCCTGTTCCAACCCAGTCTTAAAGGAATCTGCCAACACCATCAAAGAAGCCTGAGTTCCAGTCTCCAAACTCCTCTTTGTCCTCCATCCCCTAAGTAGTGGGCTAGGATATCATGAAAGTCAGAGTGGCTGGCCTGGCACAGCCTCTGAGGCCTCTGTGGATATCTTCGGGAAGCACTGCCTTGCCTTGCTGGAGTGTGGGCACATGGCCGCTGCTGGGACTGAGTTAACGTGGCCTCGCTGGAGTATGGGGACATAGTGGCTGCCAGGACTGAGTTAACGTGCTGAGCATGCTTTCTGTGAGCTGGTGACTTGGGATCTTATTCTTCTGCTGCAGATATGCCTGGGTTGAGTAGGGCTTAGTGGCTTTCTTTGGCACCAAGAAGGGAGAATGGAAATTTAAGCAGAATGATGCAAAGAACATCCTCCAGTTCATGCTTGTGCCCCACCCTCTCCCTGGAAAGCTCTTGGCATCTTCTGTCTGAACTGCAGTGTCCTCTCCAGAGAGCCTTGTCAGTCTCTGGCACCATCCTTATTGCTGCTTCCTTGTGATTACATGGGGGGAGCTGGCTACATCAGCTGATGCCACCCTGCACCCAGCCTCTGCTGCCGAGGGGAGACTCCTCAATAGTGATGGGAGGTCCTTGAATGAGCAAGATTTTCTCCAAAGAAAGCGTAGTCATGGACATCCCAGATTCCCAGCAATGCCTTGGGACAGAGTTGAGGGGACCCAGAGAGTTTCCAGGATCCTGTACACACAGACATGCTAGGCAGAGAAAGCCTTGATCAGAAGGCAGAAAAAGAGGGCATGAGGGTCTGATTGCCGGTCCCATAATCACTTCCTTCCCAGGGCACCTATGCCTTCCAGAGCCCCTCCCTCAGTATCTTTACAGAGCTGAAATGAGTAGAGGGGTAGATGGGCGGGGGATTCTATGCAGAGCCCTTCACATTTCCTGTATCTGGTCCCCTCTAGATGTTCCAGTGGCTTTGACCGGTACCGCCAAGAATGGCTGTCCTATGGCTGTGCCCAGGAGGTGAGCATTCTGAGTGGTCTGCTATAGTCCCTGCTTAGAGGAGGGTCCTGCCAGAGGACTCTACCACTGATAATGCTTTTCCTATTGGCTTTGCCTCGTGACAGCCTCATCCTCTGCTTCATCCCAGATGTATTTTCTGTTCTGCTCTGAGTCACTTTGGAAGTGAGTGAAACGTTTTCTGAGGCACATTGAGTCTTGACACTAGTCCTACCAGTGGCCTTGAACAGGCAGCCCTTGGCCACTCAGAGGAGACGGGGTGCTGGGTCTGGCCTCAGCCACAGTTGACTCCTCTGGTCCACCATACTCCCTGTAATATTAATGAAGCTCCCACCCTCCTGATTTTGAGGGAATCTATCAATTTGGGAGTGAAGGGGGTTGTTCCTTCTTTCCCCACACCCTCCTGATTTTGAGGGAGGTGATAATTCTGGGAGTGTGGGGTTTTTTCTGTTCTTTTCCCACTTCTCCCAGATAGGCCCTTCCTTTGAATCCAGGCTAGCTCCTAGCTCACACACCTTCCTTCCTCCTTCTTGGCTGTTCTTGCAAGTCAGGCACACTGTGCATACCGAGCACTACACTGTATGCTGGCCTATACTCGCTCTTATTTAATATGGCCCTAAAACCTGGGGACCAGGCCCCTCACTGAGCAGAGGGGAAGCTGAGAGGCACAGAGACATTCAAAGACTGGCCTGCCCTTTACCACAAGATGCCAGGTTCAGTGTTTAAACATGAGCCCTTCTGCCTCCCTGCCATGCTCCCATCTTTCTTTGGTCTGGTTTGTTTTATATTGTTTTTCGAGACAGGGTTTCTCTGTGTAGCCCTGGCTGTCCTGGAACTCACTCTGTAGACCAGGCTGGCCTTGAACTCAGAAATCTGCCTGCCTTTGCCTCCCAAGTGCTGGGATTAAAAGTGTGTACCACCACTGCCTGGCTTCTTTCTCTGGTCTTAAGAGTCTTAAGAAAAATTTTTTGGGGCAACAAAGTGGCTCAGTGAGTAAAGATGCCTACTGCCAAGCCCGACGACTTGAGTTGATTCCTGGAACCCACGTAATGGAAGGCAAGCATTGACTCCGTTTTGTTCTCTGTATGCTTGCTGTAGCAATATATTCTTTTTTCTTTTTCTTTTCATTTTAATTTTACTTATTTAATGTATGAGTGATCTGCTACATAAACATCCACAGGCCAGAAGACGACATCAGATTCCCTTACAGATGGTTGTGAGCCACCATGTAATTGCTGGGAATTGAACTCAGGTCTCTGGAAAAGCAGCCAGTGCTCCTAACTGCTGAGCCATCTCTCCAGCCCCTACATGCTTTAAATAGATAACAGATATACACTAAATAGATAAATGAAAAAAATTGTCTAGCCAGTCATATCTGACATTGGCTATTAGTGACTGTTAAGATGTTGTTGTTGTTGTTATTGTTGTTGTTACTGTTTTTTCTGGTTTTGGTTTTTAGATAAAGTCTTTCTGTGTATAACTGGGTATCCTGGAACCCAAGCTGGCCTCGAACTCACAGAAATCTGTTTGCCTCTGCCTCCAGGTGCTGGGACTAAAAGAGAGCACCCAGCTAGTGACTGTTAGGATTGTATCTATTTATTTAAGATTGACATCTCAGCCTCCTCTGTAATGAAGGATTTGAAGTATCTGACAGAGAATTCACCCTGTACAATAAGACACTTTCAAGGTGAAGTGGGAGTTATCTTAGTTATTTTCTGAGACAGGGTCTCACTAAGTTGACCAGGCTGGTCTTAAACTTCTGGGCTCAATCAACTAACACCTCTCCCTCCATATTCCAAGTACTTGGGTGTGAATGCAACGTTTGAGTGCATTCAAGGCTGGCTGTGCCCAAAAGCAGAACTGGGGTTTCTTGCAGGCAGAAGGCAAGACATGTGAGGACTTCCAGGATGAGGGCCACTACTCAGCTTCCCCCCACAGCTCCTTCAGCCCCTTTGATGTCGACCCCACCACCTCTTCATCCCTCTTCATCGACAGCCTCACCACAGAAGGTAAGACACGAGTCCTGGGGCAGAGGGACATCCCAGGAAGAGCCTGTCCATTCCTGACTAAGACATTCTCACAGGACAGGAAGTGCCCTGGCAAGCACTGCAGTTAAGAAAGCTTAGCTCTCTTTCTGGAGCTGATACAGAAAGAGAGGCTCTGACCTCTGGGACCATGAGATGGAGGTCCTCTCAGAGATGGGGAAGTGGATGTTTGAGCACTCCAGTTCCTCTCAACATTAACTTCCCAGAGCTGTGAGACCACTTATGCTGTAGGAGGCACCAGCTCTGTCCATGCAGTTGGCAGCAAGAGAAGACTGTGTGACTTGTTTTAGATATATAATCTTCCTTTATGTATTTTTCTTCTTCTTCTGGTACAGAGATTGAACCAGGGCCTTGAACAATACTAAGCAAACACTCTCCCTCTACACAGTATGTCCACCCAGTTGTTTTACTGAGACAAGGTAGGTAGGCTAGTTACTTTTCTATCGCTGTGACAAAACACTATGAGCAAGCCGTCTTAAGTGTTTGATTGGGCTTGCAGTGTCAGAGAGCTAGAGTCCATGGTGGTGGAACGAAATGGTCCCATGTTGGCAGGAACAGCTGAGAGCTCACATCTCAAACCACAAACAGGAGGCAGAGAGAACACACTGGTTTTTGAAACCTCAAAGGCTCCTCACAATGTCACACCTCCTCCAGCAAGGCCATACCTCCTAATCCTTCCCAAACAATTCCACCAACTGGGGACAAGTATTCAAACATATGAGCCTGTTGGGGGACTGAGAGAAGGTCTCATTCAAACACCACACAGGGTCTCACTCTCCCAACCTGGTCTTGAACTTGTAAGCAATCCTCCTGTCTCAGCCATTCAAGCTCTAGAATGGCAGAAAAAGAAAAAGAAGAAAGAAAGCGTGTAACTGCTATAGCAAGCATATGGAAGTATGAGAACAAACCACAGGAGTCAATGCTTGCCCTCTGTCACGTGGGTTTCAGGAATCAACTCAAGTCATCAGGCTTGGCAGCAGGCAACTTTACTCACTGAGCCATTTTGCTGACCTGAATATTTTTTCTTAAGACCAGAGAAAGCCATTATATTTTAGGTTTTTTTTTTTTTTTTGAGACAAGGTCGCATATAGCTCAGGCTGGCCTGGAACTCCCTGTGTAGCCAAGGATGACGTTGAACTTCTGATCCTCCTGCCTCAACTTCTCAAGAGCTGGAATTTTTTTTTTTTTTTTTGAGGGGATGGGAGTTGAGACAGGGTCTTTCTACATAGCCACGGCTGTCCTGGAACTCACTATGTAGACCAGGCTGTCCTCCAATTCAGAGATCCACCTTCAGATGCCTCCCTAGTGTTAGGATTAAAGGTGTGCACTTCTGCCCCAGGCACAGTGCTGGGATTAAAGGCACTTGCCACAATGCCCTTCTTAATTTTACTTCCAACTCATGCCTCCATTCTTGGCTTGGTGCTCATCTGCTGCCCACTAGGGCCTGACTCTCTGCAGGGCTCCTCTGCTTCTTAAAGCCTGAGGATCTTGGTTGAAGCTGGCAGCCCCAGAGACTCCAGGCCGAAGGGCTCTGCTCCTCAAACCCTTTTAGGATTCAGTCCTCAACCAGATCCTTTTCCTTAAGAAGGCTGAAAAACTTGTGAGTTATTAAGTTTCCCAGGAGAGGAGAGAAAGAGAAAAAGAAAAGCTAGTGTCTGAAAATAAGACTTAGTCTTACATGATAATAGGGGCTTATAAGAGGCCAAGTAGGTTACTAAGGGCTATGTGAGTGCCTCCTGCCCTTCTAAACATCACCTAGAGGCCTAGAGAGACAGTCAACTTCAGACCTGATTGGAGAAGAATAAGCCTTCGATAAAGACACCTGACACCATGGGGGGACCCGGCCATGTGCCAGGATGTCACATGCTACTCCACAGTCCTGGATGTTGATCCTGTTGCATCCCCGTTTTGTAGAGAAGATGCTATGACTCAGAAAGGTGAATGACCAAGGATGTGGGCATGGCGGGACATGTCTATAATAATGCCAGCACTTGAGGCTGAGGCTGGAGTGTCCCCTGTTCAAGGCTAGCCTGGGCTATATAGTATAGTAAAATTTTATCTCAAGAGATAAAACACAGGGAAACATTAAAGCAAACAAGAGAGCTTGATCAAAGTAGTCTTAATTGTCACTGGGCCAATTAACTTCACAGGGAATAGAAACTATCCAAGCACGTGAAGAATGTAAATTTTTTTGAAGTTATGTGTGTGGATGTTTAGCCTGTATGTGTCTGGGTACCATGTGTATGCCTGGTGCCTGGTTACCATGGAGCTCAGAAGAGGGTACTGAATGCCTTGGGAAAACTGAGGTTGCAGATGGCTGTGAGCCACCATGTGGGGACTGGGCATCAACTGGAGGTCCTCTGGAAGAGCAGCGAATGCGCCTCACCACTGAGCCATCTCTCCAGCCCCAAGAACTTCTGTAAGAATTCAGGTGCTGGTCAGCCCACCACACCCACAGGAGCCCTTCCTCTCTCATAGACACGGACAGGCAACTCTGCTGAGACACTGTCTGAGAGCCAGCTAACAGATGTTGAGTGCCAGGGTCCCTCACCTGGCAAGTTAACAGCAAAATGAGTATTGGAGGCCACACATCTTGCCCCCTGCCCCTTCCCTGACTCCTTCCTGGGAAACGCAGTGCCTGACTACACCCTGCTGCTATGAAACCGGTCCCATCCTCAAGGAAGGACAAGGAAAGACTGAACTAATGCTGTTGTGTTTAATAAAAAAAAAAAAAAATAGAGAGACAGGATATGTTTTATAGGCCCAGGTATGGCGAGGTGAGAGGGGCACCTCGGTGGGCCCGTGCTGAGGCATCCGTTCCCCCTGAGGGGCCAGCCATACAACGGGTTTAATATAGAATAGAGTTTATTTAGGATGTGCGGAGAGGAGTTGGGAAGAGAGGGGGGAGAGGGAGAAGGAGAGAGAGGACAGGAGAGGAGAGGAGAGAGGTTAGCTAGAAACATGTGGAGAGAGGGGAAAGGGAGAAAGGGGCAGGGAGAAAAGGAGAGTAAGAGGGAGAGGAGGGGGCAAACACCCCCTTTTATAGTAAGCCAGGCCTACCTGGCTATTGCCAGGTAACGGTGGAGTGGAGCCTAGAAGGAATGCTAACACCTGCCCTGATTGGTCTCTTCAGCGTGCCCATCATGCTGTCGTCTGTGGCATTAATAACTCTTCTAACAAACTCCCTGTGCCCAGCCATCCTCATCCTCAAAAGGTCATCCCTTTGAGACCTTTTAATTATAGCCCAGCCCACACCTATCCTGGCAGACAACTGACATGATTGCCTGTTCCCGTCCATCCTACAGAGCCACAGAAGGTGGCCACACTGGTCAAGACATCCTCTCCTGCTCATCAGGACTGGGTGCCAGCAGCCATATTGCTAGGGCTCTGTAGAATATGAGGCAGCTGTCTAATCCATGAAAAGATTCTAGCACAGATTCTAAGAAGTCAGAGGTATCAGATGTCCCCGGGCTGGAGTTCCAGGAAGTTGTGAGCTGTCTGTGAGTGCTAGAAATCAAACTCAGGTCCTCTGCCAAAACAGTCTGTGCTCTTGATCACTGAGCCATCTCTAGCCCTAAAAACATTTAAAAATTATCATTAGTGTGTGTGTGTGTGTGTGTGTGTGTTTGTGTGTGATGTGTGCAGGAGTGCCCATGTCGCAGCGCACATGTGGAGGTCAGAGGACAACTTCGTGGGGTTGGCTCTCTCCTTCCACCACCGCATGGGCTCAAGAGTCAAACTCAGGTCATTGCGCCTGTGCAGCAAGCTCCTCTACCTCTGAGCCATCTCACTGACCCAAGAGACTGGCTTTTTATATTTACATTTTATAATCATTTAGTAATTGAAGGATAATTATTAGGATTTCAAAGTAAAAATCTTTAAAAGCAGGTATATTTGACAAATTTTGGTTTCTTGTCCCTGTCTGCCAAGCTTGTTTCCTCTTGCTACATAGAGAACAATTTTTTAAAAATTTTTAGGTTTTTTTTTTTTTAATGTATGTGTCTAGCACATGTCTAGGTGCTACAGGCATGCAGTGCACACAGAGGTCAGAAGCGGGTGACAGATCCTCTGGACTTGAAGTTACAGAGTACTGTGTGCTGCCCTGAGGATACTGGGAACTGAACTCTGGAAGAATGGAAAGCACTCTCCCCCACCAGGCAGGGTTTCTCTGTGTAGCCCTGGCTGTCCTGGAACTAACTCTGTAGACCAGACTGGTTCCAAACTCAGATCTGCCTGCCTCTGCCTCCCTAGTGCTGGGATTAAAGGCGTGGGATACTGCTGCCGGCTAGAATAGCAAACACTCTTAACCGCTGAGTCATCTCTCAGACCCCAACTTAATTTTTTTTGTTTGTTTTTTTGTTTTTTGTTTTTTATTTGTTTTTTGAGACAGGGTTTCTCTGTATAGCCCTGGCTGTCCTGGAACTCACTCTGTAGACCAGGCTGGCCTCGAACTCTCGAACTCAGAAATCCACCTGCCTCTGCCTCCCAAGTGCTGGGATTAAAGGCGTGCGCCACCACTGCTCGGCAAAGGAGGGCATTGGATCCCATTACGGATGGTTGTGAGCTACCATGTGGTTGCTGGGAATTGAACCCAAGACCTCTGGAAGAGCAGCCAGTGCTCTTAACCACTGAGCCATCTCTCCAGCCCTTCCAACTTAAATTTTTGTATTCTGGTTTTCTTCCATTATCTACATTTTAACACTTCAAGACCCTGAGAGAGCAAACAAGTGTGTCAGGTGAGCGGGCGTCCAGTACACGGAGGGAGGACAACAGACGGTCCCCTGGGAAGTGGCAGGAGCAGAGCAATGAGAGATGAGGAGGCATTTGACTTGGAGGAGAATTTAAAGGAAACTCCAAAACCCCCAAAAGTAATATATGAGTTCAATGTAGTGCTTATAAAGATCAAAATTAATCTAAAAGTTCCACGATGCACCAAATACCAAAGTTCTCAACGAAGGATGGGACTCGAACGAAGGTCAGTCTTGCAGAGTTTTCTGTGGTGAGACATGGTAGGAGGAAGTGGGGGTGGGGCTTAGGTGAAAGAGGGCCGGAGGGAGGCAGAAGTGACAATACACTGGACAGCTCAGAAGTGTGGACAGCCAGGGCATGTGGAGAGCCTTGAGCAGCTTCTCCACAGTGTGACATGTGACAGGAGGGAAAAACAGGCCTACTAGGGCCTAGAACCCATGAGAGCAAACATGGGACCCACTAAGAGTCTCAAAGAGTTTGGATGTTGGAGGTTTGGTTAAGACTGTTTGTAGCTGAAGTGATTAGAGCAACAGCCTGCAGTGTTATGAGGCCTTTGGAAGCCTGGCTTCCTTTGCCTCCTGTGTGGAAACCCCAGGGAGAGGGTTGGCTGCAGAACAGACCGAGAAGCTGCTGGTGTGTGCCTTGAGGTATAGAGAAGGTATGAAAATTACTGCAGGCCCTGGAGTCTGCAAGTGAACCAGGGACCTCAGTGAGCCTTCCACGGCTCCCAGCTGCCCCTTAGAAGGCCAGGCAAGATGTCCATACAACACTCCAGCCAGCTGCCTGACTCCTTTCATCTCCACTCTGTAGTAGACACAGCTGGGAAATTCTTTGACTCTGGGCTATCATACCCTTCCTCTTACTAGCTCAGGACTCACATCCTCCCTCTGGGAAATGTTTGCTGATTCCCATGACCTGGTGAGGCATCTTCATCATGTGAAGTTTATTTATTTATAGGTTAGGGTGTGTGTGTGTGTGTGTGTGTGTGTGTGTGTGTGTGTGTGTAAGCAAAGCTTCCCACATGCCCTGTGCTTGGCATGTGCTCAGTGACTGAGCTACAGCCTGGCGTTGTGAGTGCTCTTCCCTACAGGTTCCCTGATGTAGATGGGGACCATGTCCATCTGTGATCTCACTAACTCTACCCCCGGTGCCAGCCCATGATAAACACTCATGTAATGTTTGTCGATTGAAAGCTGGCTTGTCCCAGTCTTCCCTGTTAAACTGCTGTGTAATTTTGGGCAAGACACCTCCCCTTTTGGGATGAAGAGTTGAACATGAACTTCCTTAAAACCCCATCCAGAGCCAGGGTGCGAGAGGTCTGAATGATTCCACTAACTTTGCTCCTTCTGTCTTCTTTGAAGATGACACCAAGTTGAATCCCTACCCAGAAGGAGCCGGTGAGTACAAACTCCTTGCCTCTTTTCACCAGATACATGGTGGTGGGCTCACCCTGAGGAGTCAGAGCAGGTGAGGGAGAGGGAAGAGAAGAGCAGGCAGGGTCCCAGGCCTCTGGCTGAATGGGAGGGCTGAGTCTGAGGCCACAGAGCCCTAGGAGCATGGAGCATGTCTACCCTAGACACTTCTCATCTCAGCCGTGAGCCTCCTGTGCCTACTGACCTGAAAGGAACTTGAGGAAGTAGCTGAGCCAGTGCCACCAGCAGGGGCACTTGTGGCTGTAGCCTTGCTTCTCTGCAATATCTCGTCTCCCTCCAGGCAGAGAGCATGCAGGTGTTGCCCACTTCCTGCCTGTGGGATACCAGAAGGTGGGCTACTATCAGGTTCAGGGAGGATGTTCTCTGGTCATAGGAAGGGCCTCCTCCCTTGTCAAAAGCCTGGTCCTTGCTATAAGGATGAACGAGGGAAGCCCTTTGCAGATAAAGGCTGGAGGTAGTAGCCGTTGGGAGTCCAGCAGGAAAGGCTCCTGTTTAACGACTCAGTCTGGCATTTCTCACAGTGGAGATGACGTCATTGTTCTGCTCTACAAGGAGCTTGTCACTGTGTGGTGGGGAGGGACCAGACCAGGCTCTTCCAACTTGTGCTACATACTCATCTGTCACAACCGCAAAGGTCAGATCACAACAAGCTAGGGGCTGGTGGCCAACCAGCTAGTCAGCAGAGACTAGCCTGGGGTATAAGTCCTTTCCACTGTCCTGCTTCACGCCAGTTGGAGGCACCAGCATATGCAGGAGTGGTCCAGATAGTTACTATCCTGGGATTCTTCTGTGTACATGGTGCCCAGCAGAGACAACTGCGGATAGCAACAGTCCTGATGCTCTCGCCGTCCTATTGAAATCCCCACTCTGTTGCCTCCCTTCCCACCCAAGACCCCTGTGAGAAGAACTGGGTGTTTCCATTGCTGACATCTGTCTTGGCTCATTCCTCCATATTAAGTAAGAGAGGCAGCAAATACCCACCCAGGTAGTGTTAGGGAACCCCACTTCTCAGCAGCTGACGTTCTCTATGTGTCCTTAGACAAGCGGCATACCATCTCTGTGTTTCCATTTCCCCAGTCATAGAAGAAAAGGTGGGTCTGGATGAGCCTCTTGTCCTTGGGATGTATTTTGAAAGCTTGGAATGTTCTCTAAGAGTGGATTGTGGGTGCCTCCAGGGGCTCTAGCTCATCCCATTGAATTTAGTTGAAATGGGTTCCTCTACTTCATAGCGGACCCTGTTGTTAAGAGCTGGAGAGTGTTCCTGCCCTCCAGCACATCTCAACCTGGCAACAGACAGAAGCAAGGATGAATATAGTTATTTGCTATCAAAGCAATTAATACTAGCTCGGGACTTCCGTGATGCTGGGAGTGGTTCTCGGGGTGAGCGCTGTCATTTTAACCACTGCATGGTAACGCTGGCTAGATAGCGACTATCCCTGTCCTACAGGGTGATAGCAGAGCCTCACAGAGTCTGCTTTGCCCAAAGCCACACAGCTAGGAAGCGGCAGAGAATGGATTTGAACCCAAGAAGCCAGTCTAGATTCCTATCCCTCTTTATTAATTATTGTTATTATTATTGTTGTTGTTATTTTAGATAGGGTTCTTATTGTATAGTACTGGCTGTTCTAGAACTCACTATGTAGACCATGATGGCCTTGAACTCATAGAGATCCACCTGCCTCTGCCTCCCAAGTGCTGGGATTAAAGGCGTGCACCACCACCACCCGGCCCACGTTTTTATTATTACGTTTTGTGTATGTGTGGAGTCAGTGGATATCTACTGTCCTCCCTGTGGTGGTCAGGTGACAACTTGTAGGAGTCAGTTCTCTCCTTCCCACCATGTAGTTCCCAGGGATCGAACTCCGTAAGGCTTGGCAGCAGCACCTTTACCCACTGAGCCATCTCATTAGTCCCCAGATCCTTTACTATTAACTGTCACGTGGCCTTTTTTAATTTCTTAAAGTACTTATATGGCACAGGTATCAGAGAAAGTTTCCTATAACTTCTTGAGAGCAACTTCTAAATGATTCTGGAAAACACCTTAAAGGTGCCAGAACATTTATGTTGTTGTAATCATTCCCAGTGCCTGCTGCTACACCTCTCTGTGGGTTTGGAAATGTGGGTGTTCATCTCTGGGACCTTGTCAGAACCCAAGTCCCTGAGGCACAGCTTATTTTAGTCTCTGAAGCCTTCCTCTTTCCTGCTACCTCCACAGGCCTTCCAGACAACTCGTCCCCAAAGACCAAGGGTCCTCCCGTGCACCTGGGCACCGTTGTGGGCATCGCACTTGCTGTACTCCTGGTAGCAGCCATCATCCTGGCTGGGATTTACATCAGTGGCCACCCTAATTCCAATGCCGCACTCTTCTTCATCGAGGTCAGTGTGAGATTTGCCTGCATCTGCTTCACGCCAGCTTCCCTAGACATTCAGAACCTGCCTCCCCCAGTCCCATCCCTCACCTGCCTGAGAAACTGTCCTCTACTCCATCATCTCTTCAGTGACAGGTACCAGGGTTCATCATCCTCAGGACTCAGCACCTAGGCATTCCCTCCCTGGGAATTGGTCTGTCTGTTTTCTTGAGGTTAGGAAAGCCCCCAGAGGAAGATAATCAAAAATGCCATAGCATAGGGCCCTATTAGTGGCATGTAGCTTTCCCCGTAATGACTTGAGGTTTCTTGTCCCCAAATTCTGAGTGATGGTCTCCTTCAGAGCCACCATGTTTCACTGCTTCTGTGGGCTTCTTAGGTGACAGTTGACAACCCAGATGTTAATGAGGGCTGTGCTCTCTGGGAGCTTGATTTGAGGGTGCATGCAGCAGTTTTGAATGTTCCAGAACTTAGTGTGAACAGGAGGGTATCATGGGAAGTGAGGCTCAGCCCTTGTCTGTGAGCCACAGGGCGCAGTAATCTCTGGCTCTTATCCCACTAGTGAAGTCATGTCCGTGGTTTCTGAGGACATAAAGATGAAGGAGACACTGGCCCTGCCCTCTAGTCGGTGACAAGCAGATGATGCCCTTAGTGAGTCCCTCAATAACACGCCTGTATCACATCACTGTGAACTTCTCTAGAACCCTTATCGGGAAGGATCGTTTTGCTGGGAGCGGGGCACATGCCTTTAATCCCATGACTGGGGGGACAGAGGCAGGAGAATCTCTGTGAGTTTGAGGCCAGCCTGCTCTACAAAGTGAATTCTAGGTCCACCATGGCTACATAGAGAAACCTTGTCGCAGAATACTGCCCCCCCAAAAAAATAATTTGAGAAGGTTTCACAGGGATATCTGTCTCTACCTGGGTTGTAAGCCCACTGACCTCAAGCCCCAGAGGCCTAAGTGGTTCCCTTCCTTGGTTTTAAAAAAATGAAACAGGGTCTTTCCAGTTGTTCTGAATTCTTAGCCTACCTGGGTATCACCTAGGACTACCCGTGCCCAGGCCGCAAGGACTTTGACGGGTGGACTCAAGGTAGGCCAAGGCATCTGCATTTTAGTAAGTCCCCTGTGGATTCTGATGTGGAACCTGTGCTATCTTGGCACTTCCAGAGTAGGCCCTGTGGCCTGCTTCATCACTTCCTACAGTCTCCAGTCAGCTGTTGAAGCTTCCAGCTCAGTTCTACAAACCACACTGTGTGCTCCTTCCAACCCTGCTTCTAAAACTGCCACGCACGGTGCTGCATGCCTAGAATCTGAACACTTGGGAGCCATGAGTCAGGGGATTGCTGCAAGTTCAAGGCTAGCCTGGGCTACATAGAGAGTTCTGGGCTAGCCAGGGCTATATAGAGCTTCTAGTGGCTGAGGGTTTACTGTGGGGAATCTTGCAGAGAAAGTGGCCCCCACCAGCAGCTGTCTTTCCGCAGTGAGCCCCCATTCCTCCAGAACCCTTTCACGAGGCAGTTCTGCACAATCTCTCAGAGCTGGGCTCCAGGGAGGTAGTATTCACTGACTTTGCCTCTCTGTTCTTGCAGCGGAGACCTCACCACTGGCCAGCCATGAAATTCCACAACCACCCCAACCACTCCACCTACACAGAGGTCGAGCCCTCCAGTCACGAGAAGGAGGGCTTCGTGGAGGCCGAGCAATGCTGAGAGCATCGGGCCAGAGACCTGGGGATGGCATGAAAGTCAAGTCACAACAAAGAGAAGTGATTTTTCCTGGCCTCCTCTGAGCTGGCTCTGGGCCAGGAAGAACAGTTTATGGTGCCAAAACTACAGTTTGGTTCACACACCCCAGATAAAAGGGGCTCAGTAACACAACCGCGAAGGTTTCTTAAAGGAACACTAACCTCAGAGTTCCCTGTTTCGATGGGAGGAAACTTCGGGGTTTTTTTTGGGTCTCTCAGTGGTCTGTGGCTATGGCGGAGCCACTGCCCACTGGAGACAGCCTCCTGTGCTACTTCTGCTCAATGAAGCCGTACTGGGCCATTACATTCTAGGGTCTATAGACTCAAGTGCTGGTCTTCCTAGCTATGGAGACAGTACACTTGGCTCCAAACTTTGTGGCTCTGGAAGCCTAAAGAAGGGGTGCCCTCTACCTGAGAGCTCTTATCCCTGGCCTTGGTCCTTTACTTCATTGTTTCTGCAGAGGCTGAGGTGGGCCTCAGAGCACCGTAGCCTGCAGCTCTTTCTGAACCCTGCCTTGCCCCCTCAGACTCCCCCTTGCAAGCAGGTCTTGCATGGCTGCCAGCAATGAGTGGGGCCCTCACTGTGCCATGTGTCTGCTACCTGCGTTACTTGTTGACCTGTTCTGTTGTCAATGACAGTAGTTTCCTTCAAAGAAAGGGACAATTTACCTGGCTCCTAGTTTAACTTGGCTGACCAGAGTGGGGTTCTTGTAACCATTAAAAACAATAAGTAGGAAGGACATGGTGGTATACACCTTTAATCCCAGCACTCAGGATGCAGAGGCTGACAGATCTCTGAGATCAAGGCCAGACTGGTCTACAGAGAGTTACACACAGAAAGAGCCTGTCTTGAAGAAACAAAATCAATAGGGGCTAGAGGTTTCCTTGAGACACCCCTGCCTCAGCAAGGGGCTCCAGTTGAATCCTGTTGAAGCATAGTCGCTCGGGAAGGTAGGGCAGAGAAGTCTGGTACGGGAGAGAGAGACCTTGACCTGGAAAGCAGCCTCCATCTCTCTAGCTCGGTAAAGAGCTTTGGGAACTGGGAGTTGATGTTCCCACACACAGCCTGGTTTTAAGGGACTTCTGTCCCAGTGGTGGGCCAGGACTGCTTTTAAAGGACAATGAAACTCTAGAGCTCACCCTTATCCCAAAGAAGCATCATCAGCAAATAAATATGGTGTAGCCTCCACTCTGTCATGCCTATTATGCACGTAAGGAAGCACCTGGAAAGAAGTTTGAGCTCCAGGGGGATCGATGGGAGGAGGGAGGGTTGTGTGCAGATACCTGGGCACATCCGGTGCAGACAATCCCAGCCACTCCATGGCTGACCCATGAAAGGACACTGATGACATGTACAACTTGGAAATATGCTGGTGTCTGCTCTGCTTCCTAAGCCAAAGGAAAAAAGGCTGTGGGGACAGGGGCTGTGGGGACAGAGGGTGTAGGAACAGGGGGTGTGGGGATAGGGGCTGTGGGGATGGGGTCTGTAGGGACAGGGTCTGTGGGGACAGGGGCTGTGAGGACAAGGGCTGTGGGGACAGGGGCTGTGGGGACAGAGGGTGTAGGGACAGGGGGTGTGGGGATGAGAGCTGTGAGAGGAACTTGAGAAAATTACAGTAGACAAGGTAGAGTGCTTTGCAGACTTCAGAAGACAGCCAAGTCTGTGACTTTGGCATCCAGCCCTATGGGTATCTTTGACAGTGACCAACCAGCACAATACCAAAGACCTCTGGGTCTGAGATGGTTTTATAATTAAGTTTCTACTGCTGTCCAGCAAGGCAAGGCAGTGCCTCTCGTATTATGCACCGTCAGTCAGACTTTCCACCCCATGGTACATCCAAGATGGCTGCCAGTGCCTTTTCTCCTTGATGCCTGTGAGTATCCTAGGGGAAGTAGGTGGGGGCTCTGTAAAAGTCCATCACACAACAGAAACGTGGACTGGGGAGCTTTCTCTGATGTCCAAAGTGCTCAGCAGGTTTGAGGAAGGTTGTATTTTGTATCCTTAAGAGACACCCGAAGAAACAGCAAGATGGCTCAGTGGGTAAAGGTGTTTGCGGTCAAACCTGAAGATCTGAGTTGGATCCCAAGGACCAATAAGATGGAAGGAGAGAACTGACGCCCACAGGCTGTTCTCTATATACACACATATACCATAGAACAGACACACACACTAAATACAATTTTAAAAGAGGAATAACCATAGAAAATGGGAATATTGGCCGGGCGGTGGTGGTGCACGCCTTTAATCCCAGCACTTGGGAGGCAGAGGCAGGTGGATTTCTGAGTTCGAGGCCAGCCTGGTCTACAGAGTGAGTTCCAGGACAGCCAGGGCTACACAGAGAAACCCTGTCTCGAAAAACCAAAAAAAAAAAAAAAAAAAAAAAAAAAAGAAAATGGGAATATGCCCAGAGTGTAAAGGCTGGGTACACGGGGGCCCCTCTGCCTACCCCATTCAGACACTCATAGATTTGTAAGCTTGTCTCTCGGGATTTCTAATTCTAGAGCACAAGTCATATGAGCCCACTGTGAACCCCAACTCCCAGGAGACCCCCCACTCAATACCATAGACATGTTTTCCAAGCTTGCCCAGAAATCACTCTCCAGCCATGACCTGCTACCTAACCCAGTAGACCCTGGGTCTGTGGATGCCACTTTTTAGCCTGAAGCCTGAGGTCACAGATGTCCTTTGGTCACTGTGAAAAATTCTTGGTGAACCTATGGAAACAGTTTTTAAAATTGGTACATCTTATCAGGCTCACTGCATCATATGACTATCTCTCTCTCTCTCTCTCTCTCTCTCTCTCTCTCTCTCTCTCTCTCTCTCTTACACACACACACACACAGACACAAACACACACAATACACTTTACTGCTAAAATCATTGAACAAACACTTGTAGGGGAATAGTAGGAAAGTCAGGAGTTTGAGGTCATCCTTGGCTACATATCAAGTTTGAGGCCAGTCTGGGCTACATAAATCCCTATCTCAAAAAAAAAAAAAAAAGAATATCAACAATAGCAACGTGCTGGATGAGGGTAGGGCTATGCTCAGCAGTTCGCTGAATTTGTTGGGACAGTGGCAAAAGCTGCTAGCTAGCAAGACACTTCCAAAAGCAGAGTGTTCACCAACTGAGCAGGCCCAGGCTGATGGTGAGCAGAACTCAGAATCTTCCCGGTCATGGGAACGGACTCAGACTGGCATGGAGTAGCACTAAGGGGCTGTGGCCAGACTCCCTGGCCATGAGAACACACAGCAGCAGAATCAATGTCATCAGTTAAAATAGCCTGTCTTTCTCCAAGGAGTTGCTGGAATTTCAATACAGCTACAAAGAGCTACGTTCTGAGGGGACCCTGGATGCCCTGGAATGGATTCCTGCTTCTCGTGTGAAATCCTGGTGTTACGAATAAAAATAAGTTCCGACTAGTCTACAGAGCGAGTTCCAGGACAGCCAGGGCTACACAGAGAAACCCTGTCTCGAAAAACTAAAGAAAAAAAGAAGAAACAGCCTTGGCTTTCTAGAAAGCCAGATGCAAAGGATATGGAGCCACACCCTTTGGTCTGAGGCTTGCTGCTCTCAGAGCTCTTCACTGAGGCCTGTCCCTGGCTGTGGAGAAGTGGCCTCCAGAAGCCAACCTTACACACTTTTAATCTACTATGGAGAGACACAAAATGAATCTGAGTGAGTTGATACTGTCACAGTTCTGGATGTTTCACGTTCAAACAGCTTTGCAGCCTTGTGTTTTTATTCCTTTGGGTTTTTCCCCCCCTCACAAAATGTGGGTTAGCAAACCCAACAAAAAGGGAAAAAATTAACCTCCTCAGCCAAAACCACGGTTGCCAAATTTCAGGTTCCAAACAAGCCAATTTATAAATAAACATGCTGCGATCGCTAAAGAGGAGCATGCTGGGAAGAGGCAGAGGAGGCTGTTGGAGTCGGAAGGTGGGATCTGGAGCCTCAGCAGTGTCCCTGAGCAGCTGTGTGACATCAGACAAGTTACTGTGCATCTCTGGGCCTGTTTCCACCTCTATAAAATGGGATGGGCTGATATAGTTGGCTCAAGGAGAGGCCTTAACAATCGCCATCACAGATCACACAGCAGTTTGGACCAAAGCAAACTTTTCTCTTCCATCATCCTGACAAGACTACCACATTGTTTTAGTTGGTTCAAGACTCCCTTGGCTCTAATCCTGAAAGTCATGCTTCTCAGAAGGCTCTTTGACCTTTGGTATTCTCCCACTCCACTGGCTGAAGAGACAGTGTTAACTTCAGGGCTGTAGTCAGGAGCCTTTCTGGCTCACCTATGTCCAGACTGTGAGCATAGTTTGAGACAGTATACAGGACCCAGTCCCACCCACTCCAGGCACACTTAGTCAGACATGCATGTATGCAGCCTTGGGGATTCGTGGGAAGCAATTCTACTTACAGGATCACAGCCTGTTGGAGAAATGTTTTCTGCATTTCCCAGACGAAGAAACTGAGACTCCAATAGAGCCTTATCTATTCATTATGTGTGCCATGGACCAAACGACACATCCTAGTGTATGACAGAGCAAGTAACTCATCCAAGGTCACACAGCTAGTAAGACAAGACCCAAACCCAGGTCTTCAAAATCTCTAAAATAATCGAAGACTATTCTCTGTGTACCATGGAACAGCAGAAAAACCATGTGGCCACAGTGTAACAGAAGACCTCATAGGGCATAACATAGAAAAAGGCTGTAGATTCTGACACAATGCCCTTGGCCCATGGAGACCCCCAGTGAGATGCACAGCCATGACTTCCAATGGTCATTCTTGGCTCCTGAAGCTGTTTGTGTATCTTTGATTCATTTACACAACCCGATGATTACACAGATGTTCTTGATGCTGCTGCCTCTGTCACTTCTGCTTTAGCCACTGGACCACAGGAAGAAAGCACCCTGGAGGAGCAAGCCATGACTGCAGCTGCGGCTGCCAACAATGATGGCGACGACAGTGATGGTAACGGTGATGATGATGCTTTAAGATTCATTTTTTATTTTATGAGTATGAGTATTACACCTGCGTATCTGTGTGCCAGGTGTATGCCTGGTGCCTGCAAGGGCCAGAAGAGTTACAGACAACCCTGAGCTGCCACACAGGTGCTGGGAACAGAACCCAGGTCCTCTGCTACAGCAGCCAGTGCTCTTAACCACCAAGCCGTCTCTCCAGCCCGCTACTCAGCTTCTGGAAGGAGAGTCTTTACTTGAGCTACTAAAATCAAAGAGGAATTCTCTGGAGGATAGGGACACTTCTTTTTCTGATATTCACAGAACATTTTTATATCAGGTCCCAAAGGATAGCTCGACATTTTCTATTGTTTTCCACAAAACTAAAAGCCCTGGAAATGAGGTGTCTGACTGCAGGCCTGGAGCTGTGAGATGTATCTGTGGGCGTAAGGCCCTCACCACCAAGCCTGACGACTTGAGTGTGATTTCTGGACCCATTTGCTGGAAGTAGAAATAAATAACCCCACACGCAGACTGCAGCAAGTGCACACACTAAATGGATAAATGCAGGGTTTTTTATATAATTTATTTAAATTTCATCAGCTATTCCCAGATCCTCGGGTTTGACCCTTCACCTCCTCCTTCAATCTGTCCTTTGTAGTCACCTGGTGATTTGATGGAGTGTCCAACATGGGTGAGAGTCATCCTGCCCAGCTAAGCTGAGAAAAGCCAGAAATCCCTCAAAACAACAGATCTGGTTCCTTCGATGGCTTGCTCTATGGTCCACTCCAATTAGATTCTATTTTCTTTTGTTTATTTATTTATTTGCCTATTTTCTTTTGTTTGGTCAGTTGGTTAGTTGTTTTTTTTTTTTGAGACAGATTTTTTGAGTTGGTTTCTCTGTGTGGCTTTGGTTATCCTGGGACTCACTCTGTAGATCAGGTTAGCCTCAAACTCAGATATCTGTCTGCTTCTGCCTCCCAAGTGCTGGGATTAAAGGCCTGGGACACTACTGTCTAGCTAAATTCTACTTTTATTTTTATTTTTTTCTGAGTTCCTGGGGAAGAGGTCAATGTTTCACTAGCAAGCTATATCTTCAGCCCTAGTCGCCATCTTGAATTCACTCACAGAGATACTGAGTTCACTCACAGAGATACACTGCTATCAATCTACCCTAGCTTCACTCTATTCTCTCAAGGAATATCAGGAAGCCCCTCTTCA